GACTGCCAAACTATTAATGATGTCACAAAGATCACGCTCATTTATGGCCCGCCCCTTAAAATCTGATTTCAATGAGCACAGAGAAAAACTTTCCACTTTCAGCAGATAAATGTGAAAATAGCCTTCTAGTGTCAGACATCTGGCTGTAGGAACAGGAAGATTTGTGAGTGGAGGGGGGCTTTAAGTAATAACAGTACTGCCTTTATAACAGAGAATTATTATTTTTAATCAAGCTTGAGTTATTATAGTTGTTTTAGGTTTTAAAATGTTACATCTGATCCCTCGAATCACCTGATGTTACCAGCCCTAGATTAAAATTAGAGCTGAAATTATTAGTCGGTTAATCAATTAGTCGATAGGCAATTATTTGGATAATGTACTAATCACTAATCTATTAAATAGTTTGCCTACCACATATGACCGTGAACTGACTTTTGGGGTTTTGAATTGGTGGTTGGACAAGACGATTCAAGATGCCATCACCCTTTTTTGACATTTCCTAGACAATTGATAAATTGACGGTACAATTAATAAAAAAAGAATTCTTAGTTGAGGTAATGACATACGGATGTTTCTTAGCAACAGTGATAATAAAGTGAAAGCATGATAAATGGGTCTAAAGACAAAGAGATCCTTGGAAAAAAAAAAGCCTTCTCCAGAGGGCACATGACCTCAGACCAGGCTAAGATTCACTTCTAGACAACAGTGTCAAGTCTTTAAGAAGCCAAAGCCTGGACTTTGACCCCACTGATAATCTGCTGAAAGACCTAGAGATCAGTAGATCACTGAGGCACCTAACCAATCTGACAGGCTTAAAAGGACGAACTGGTTCAATTTGCAGTGTGATGTGGAAACGCCACCAGTGCACATACACCAAGAATGGACTTTACAGTGAAGTAGGAGACATCTTGTGTCCAGCAGGAAAACTTTAGAAATGAACACAATTTGCATATTCACAGATTCTAGAATTGTTAAGAGGTAAAAGGAGTAGATGAGTTTTTAAGGATTTTACACTTTTTTCAGACAAAAAAAAACAAACATATCAGCTTATTATTTCTATATATGTTTTGATTTCTGTAGGGGATCTTTAATTATTTTGAGCAAGTTTTAAACAAAAAATTTAAATGTATAGTATTTTATGATAGTAAACTAGATATTTTTTGGCTCTGGACTGTTGGTTTGACAAATCCAAACATAGATAATACTTTGTGCTTTGGGATATTGTGATGGCAATCTTAATAATTTTGTCTATAAAATGTCAGAAAACTATAAAAAAGTAATCTATAGATTCATTGATTACAAAAAATAATCACCCTGCTATAGATGCAAATCTCAGGCGAAATAAAGACCTGAAGACTTCATTATTGTGTATGGTACTTAAACAAATTCTGAATAAATAATACATTTTATAATTTATAAACTTAAAAATATTTGATTTAGAGTATTTTACATAATGTATAAATAAATAAATCTATTTAGATCAAGCCTATAATAATACAACAAAATGTCAAGAAGTCAGTAATTCACGGCGTTAAATCTGTAATATTAAACAATACAAATGGGTCAAAACACAAGCTCAAAATTTAAAACTTTTATTTGTGAACCAATGAAATGGACTGCAATCCATCTGTGCCTCCTATCTTAAGAATACTAACATGAACATAAGGAAAAAAAACAAAAAAAAGAAACGGCAAAACGTGACAGCTGGTGCCAGAGCAGGCATCATCACAGACGCTGGCTTCATCGGAGGGGACAGGCAGGCCAATGACATTCTGCTGTGAAGTCCAACTGAAGCCTTACAGCTTGAATGCGGGGGGGGTTTGGGGGTGTGGACGCGTCAACAAGAGTTTTCCCCTCCGATGAAGCTGTCCGGTAAAGCGATGCGTGTTGCTGGTTTAGGTTAGGTTAGGGTCTTTGAACACAATACAAAAATATGAGCTGGAAGCACAAGATCTTTTTTTTTTTTTCACCTGCTATGGCAAAACAACGCTAATAATGGACACTGTGAAGTTAAACACAAAAGGCAGGCTTCAGTGTCTTGTTTCATACGAGTGCTTTAACTTTAAAACTCTGACTATTAAAAAAATATCAACCCACACCAGCTGTCAAGTAAAGCGTAACAAATAATACCATTTACATTTTTCATCATGTTGTTCATAAAAAAAAAAAACAAAATAAGGAAAACTTCATGTTCACTCATTTAAAAAAAAAAATGCACCCTGGAACATATTTTCCACCCCACGAAAGATGGAGTCAATTTGTTGCCTGTTAGATGAGAATTTTAGGGGAAGAAATTGGCCTACTCTCCATTTGAATCTGGAGAGATTTTGTATCATAATAGCAAGGTCCCTTCACATTAAGACCTACTTATAACTTCATTTTACGTATTCACAAGTCTCTTTGCCAATGGTCTCTTTAAAGTGAAATTGTAACAGAAGAGACAAAGTTCTGAGCAGACGTTGAAGGCCATTTTAATCACTTTACACGAGAACCTTCTTTTAAACGAGCCTCGAGCCCAGGCGGCTCTGTGAACCCGACCGCTCACCACCAACAACACGTGGCTCCTTAGAACCAAATGCCTCACAGGAAAATTCTCTGTATAAAAAATCTCCATTCTGATATTCGCAGCATTATTTATTTATTTCACCTTCCTCATTGTTTGGGATATTTCTTTTTCTTTCTTGGACAAAATGAATGAAAACATCTGAGCAAGGCCAGGAGTGTGGAGATGTAGGAAATAACACTTTTAGATCTCACTCAGGAGGTACGTTCTACATTGACCCTTAATGTTCTCTTGAAATCCTTAACCAACGTACAGCCACAAAGCAACTGGGCTCTGACCAAACGTAGCCTGCCCAGGAGCACCACCCGAGGATGTAACAGCAACCACCTAAAATCATGACTTTTTGTTTTTTTGGAGAGGGAGGGAGGGAGCACCCTTAGTGTTTGACTGTCAGTCACCACTGCTAACATTACTGAGGTAGAGATTTGTCCCGGGGTCGAGGACTGATGTTTTCATAAGCTCCCCAGCCAGAGAGGTGCCAGGCCTCAGCTTCCACACACATACACACTTTGACACTCACACCCAAACAGTCAAACAACTGGACAGAAAGACAAACAGCCGGGACGTACGCTGATGCTCATCTCTCTGTTCCTCTCTCTGTCCATTTAATACCCTGGGTTCCTTTGTGAGCTGGCAGGCAGAGAAAACCATCTATGGTGACTGGGAATGAAACACTGGGATGCATCTGGAGAATACACACACACACACACACACACACACACACGGCGAAACAACTACCAATTAGCTTTCTCATAACACTTTTAAAGCTCGAGGGCCATAGCGCAGTGGCACAAGCCATCTACAGTGTTATCCTACCACCCTGTGCATGTAAAAAAAAAACACTTTCCCTTTGTTACCTTTTCTACATTCAATCATCAAAACCTGCCCTGTGACAAGTTGGGTGGCTCTTTTCCCGATTTCATTCACAAAGGATTTCCATCAAAATCTGAAAATACTGCTATTTTTGAAATCAAA